TGCACTGCAGACAGAAAGCAATTTTGAAATGTGCAGTAACAAATACAGCCAGTACTCTTGATTTGATAGTCCTGACAGTAGGGAAGGCATGAGGTTTGCGAGAGAACTTTCAGTATAAAATAAGCTGAGGTAATTGTTCGCAATACGGAAGCACACATCAGGGATCAAGTTACCATGTCACAATTTTTTTTTTTCCTTCAAGTTTGTGTGACTGGGCATGCACTTTGGGCATTGCCCAAATGGAGGATTGATGGGGGGCTCTGCCACCCAGCCCCCAGGCAATCATTGTCTTCGTCTTGGTACGCACGGCATGACAGAGCCAAAACAAGGGAGCATCAAGGGAACTATGGCAATGAGTGGAGTTTACCACAATAATTTTTCTTTATTTGTAGAGTTACCATTTGTGTCTGCAGATTATTACTCGTATGAACTACTGCAACTTTTAAAGATTAACCCAAATTGAGTAATAGAATATACAACAAAAATACGCAAACCACAACAAATGCTTAAAACTGGCTAATGAAACTATATGGACGTGCCTGCCATCATAATAAAGTATACAGAAATCTGCCCCAAAATTCGGTAACATACACAGGAATACACATAACCATAAACTCCACCTAACATCCCCTAACCACAAGGCTCTGCCACCTGGACCCTGTACCCTTTATACAATATGTTTTTACCCTGTATTCCTTAGCCAGGACCCCTTACCAGGGGGCTCTGCCCCCAGAACCCCTAAGGTTGTTAAACAATAGGTTCTAGCCATAAACTTCACCTAAGGTATGCCTCCTGGCCCCCCGCTGCATAAAATAGATTGTATAAATTACTAAATACTGTTTCTTTCTACAAAGAATTTGCACTCTGAAGGACTAATTGAGACAGTTGATGGTCTCTGATACCACAATGATGGACAATTGTGCCTATTTCTTCAGCAAAGCCACTTTTCTATATCAAACATGGCCCAAATGTAAAGAAAGCTTTTTCTACCATCACTTGTGAAAGAATGAATGTTTACAGAGCTGTCAAAAATCTGCACATGCGCAGATTATTAAAAATAATCATATTAACAGATGTTAAAAATGTTAAGTATCTATAACAATATCAAAGGAATAATAGACTACAGACAAATGGACTAGGCACTGATAACAAAATAACCATTTTTACAGGTGCATAAGCTACTAATTCACAAACTACTGGACATATCGCAGAAATGAGTTATGTGGTCAGTGCACTACTTGATACTGCACTGTAAATATTATGAGCGACTGTGATTAGTATCACTAAGGCCCGTACTTTTAAAACCTTCGCCAGTGCTGGCGTTCGCCTGAGTGAGGGAGGCCTTACTTTTAAACCCAACGTTCGCCAGGCGCTAACATCTTGCATTCTCGCTAAATCTAGCGCAAATTTGTTTACATCTGCAGTGCACATAACATAACCTAAACTTAATTATTAACCTCGAGAGAAGACGAAAATGTTATTTCCGCAATAGTCATGCTTTATACTATAACAAGGAGTTAAAATTTAACTTTATGCTATAACAAAGAAGTTGAAAATATCTTTATACTATAACAAAATTAACTTTATACTTTATGCTATACTACACTTTATACTATAACAAGGTTAACTTTATGGCCCGTACTTTTAAAACCTTTTGCTTTTTCTCGCGTTTTTTTCATTCGCAGAAGCGCTAGATTTAGCAGGAATCCAAGATGTTAGCGCCTGGCGATCGCTTTCGTTCGCCAGGCCTGGCGAACACCTGCCTTGGTTTTAAAAGTAAGGCCTCCCTCACTCAGATGTTCGCCTGGCGAAGCTTCGCCAGGCGAACGCCAGCATTGACGAAAGGTTTTAATAGTACTTTATACTATACTATATCAACTTTATACTTTTATACAAAAAATAACTATACTTTAACAAAAGAGTTTAAAAATTACTATTTTACTATTCCTAACTGATATAAGATATTGAACTGTAGGCCTACAAGGGTATCATTAGACACGCCTCATTATAGGGCGGTGGAGCACTACAGCTCTGTTTCTATAGCCAAAAGTAAACATACCGCCATAAAAACACTTCTGGTAACATTTGTGAAAAGAACATTATCCCTACAACCAAAATAACAACAACCTAAATCTAAATAAGTCATCTCGGGGGTGGGGGGTAGGGTTAGGGGGGTAGGAATACAGCTGATGTCTTGAGCTCTCGACTGGAACATCGAAGGTCTTGAAAAAAATACGTATATACGTTATTTCATAACAAATTATGATTTTAAGATATTTTATAATTTCAATGTGATTCCTACATCCTATCATACACAAATATGTCACTAATTTATAATTTGAAAGCAAGAAAATGGTATTCAAACAGCTCTCTTCGCCAGGCTGTTCCAATATGATCTTTCGCCAGCCCTGGCAAACGTTCGCCAGGCATGATTTTAAAAGTACGAAATTCCGGATCGCCCGGCGAAACCTTTCGCCAGCCCTGGCGAAAGGTTTTAAAAGTACGGGCCTAAGAGCGACACACAGAGATAGAGGGAAATGGAGGTTAATCTTTACAGTATGGACACACTAAGTTATGGCAAATTGAATGTGATATTCTTGTAGAGGACATAAAGTTGCAGTAGTAAGTATAAGAAATAATCTGCAGACACAAATCGCAACGCCATAAATAAAGGAAAATTATCAAGGAAAGTGCCACTCTCAGCCTAAGTCCACTCGAGACTCCTGAGTTTCGCATTTGTCTTGCCATGCATACCAAGGTGAAGACAATGTTACCCAGGGGGTATTGGGGCGGGGCCTCCCATCAACCCTTCCCTTGGTCAGTGCCAAAAGGGCATGCCCAGTCATGGCAACTTAGATTGATGAAAAAATTTTTGATGTAGAGATGGCGTGTGCATCCATACTGTAAAGAATTACCAAAATGGACACTACTATCTTATAGGGCATAAGAAATAGACCCCTCACAACGCTAGCATTCTTAATGTTTGTCTTCTATAAGTTGACATGCAGTAGTAATAAACGGAGGGAACAGGGGGTTGTCCCCACTGTATGGAATAACTAGAAGGCAGGAAAGTAGGTTCTCTTGATACCCTGATTTTGGGATTCGCCGTGGATATTGTTCCGTCACCGGATTTTATAACATTTTGGCTATTTGCCCGGCATATACTCGCGCTTGTGCACTATCAATAATTATGTCTTGGTCATTTCATGCAATATCCATAGTCGAATCGAGACTCTGCTGGGGTATTTCTCCGGCTTTTTTTTTGTCAGAAGCCTGCACTGAAGAGCTATTTTTCCGGCAGGGGCGCACATCATCAAAATTTTTTATTATTCTTAGGACCGAGTGGACATACATGCTAAGTTTGCTATAGTTTGACATTTCTGTGATTTTCATCCCTATTCTGTGATTTTAGTGTGCCTATAAATGATAGGACCACACCCGTCAGAGACGAAGTCCCCAACTTCCGCTAAAAATGTTGGGGGATCCCGTGGGGAATCAGGTGTTGGGGGGGGGGGGATTTCTTTCATACCATGTATTTTAAAAAGCAAAAGAATGTGGGAAATTGAAAATCCGAGCCAAGGATAGTATTTCAGATGATAAAGAAAGTGAAAAATGTAGGAAACCAAGAGAAGATTCGGCCACGGATGATTTGACACGGTGTTGCGCGAACGAACAAGCGAGTGAACCGCATCTTAAACGGACGAACTACCAGTAGGATTGCCGTATGAACCAAAAGTACCTCCTAACCCGGGGGCTATGCCCCCATACCCCCTCCCAATTGCCGTATTTCCCGATGCAGGCAAACACTAAGTAGGAGTACTTCAACTCTGGCTTTACTTTCTTATCCGGTGTACGCTTCAAAGTTGCAGCAACAGTCCTTGAATCTTTGACATAAAATGGAGTGAAATTGCTCTCTTGAAATTTGGTCAAACTGTCCTTCACATTAGCAAAACTGGCAAATTCAGTTCCAACTTTGAAGGGATCCATAATCGATGATCGACCCTTAGCCATGAACAATGAACAACACAAAAACAGCGCCAAAGTTTGTATGCAAGGCTAATGTGTGTGTGTGTGTTTGCGCACAAATAGTTAGTCCGCATGTATGCTGGATGAATAACCAAACTGTTATAAAATCCGGTGCCAGAACAATATCCACGGCGTTTGGCATTTCCTCTTTGAAGATTACATCCTCTCAATAATAAATACCAGTACAATATGTTAAAGTACTCAGTTCCTGCACTTTCCTGCATTCAAATACATCAAACAAAATGGGAATATATCCCATCCTTTTATATATTGTGCACACTGATCTTGTATTATACAACCAACAGAATATTTAGACAGAATACAGGAAATCACATTAGGAAAAAATATAGGAGAGAACATTAGGATAAAACACTGGCTCAAACACTGAACAGAGGATAGATTACAGAAAAACACAGGACAGACCATTAGCAGAAAACACGCCAAAGCACACAAGAGGAGAAAACATTGGCCAAAACACACAAGTGAACATTATGACCGAACACAGAAAAGAACTTCAGAATAGACCACAGCAGCGACCATCAAGACCTCCCAACCAATATGTTTACAAGAAGACATCCTGTTTTGGAAGTCATTCTGGGTGTCCTCATTGCATCCAAAATAGACTAGGCCTACTGTTTATAATTTCATCTACACTGGTTTATTTACAGCCAAAGATAACTAGCATTGTAATTTGAGATTGTAATTTGAGGTTGGCAAATCAATCTTGCCAATCTCAACAAATTAAATTGTGAAGTATATTCAAAAGAAATAGGAATTATGAAGAAATATGTTTGACAGATGACGATACTGAAAGGAACCTTCCACTCTTATCATCTGATTTAACATCTAGGATCCCCCTGTTTTACCGACGAATTACCCACTTATCCTACTAAATCACAAGTGATATACATTCCTACACCTTACTAACCCCCGCCCCCCTAACCCACAAAAACATATACAAATTCCATACTTAC